ATATATAGCTATAGCCATTTGTATAATGAAATCTGTGAGCTTTATGGAAAACCAAAGCATTCATTCCACCATCAAATTTAAAAGTTCCATTTTTATATAAAGTCATTACACTAAAGAAGACTGTATGAGAATAAAAAGTAAAATTTTATGAAATTATAAAGGATAGTCTTTTTTCTTAATAAATGGCATTGTATCCCTTACTAGGAACTGGATATGAATACATTTCCTCTAGTTTATCAGTGTACTGTGAGTATCAATCTCAATTCTACTAATTTTTCATTCTCTGTATTTTTCTTTTCTCCTGTTTGCTTCCCTATTGAAGGCTGAGTATGAGTTTATCAGCTCTGGTCTCTACCTAGTGGTGTTACTGCACTTGTGCGAACAAAGCTTTTCTGATATGATGGGAAATACAAATGAACCAAGCACACGTGTCCGAGTAAGTAATAATGAAGTCGGGGAGAGGGAGGGTATGATGCAGCAAGTGTTTGCCTTGGAAAGCAGATTGTTTTATATGTTGACATCTTATTTCCTTTGGGAAGCTTTTATTTTTTAAATGTTTCTTAAAAATAAAGATACTGTAGATTTAATGGAAATTGCTGTATTCTATAACAAGCAGCCTGATTTTCTCATAAAGTTATTTTAGAGAAAGAAGTAATTTTCTAGCTCTCGAAGGTAATTGGAATGTATTTCATTGAAAAACAGAATTGGAAACATCAAGGGAAAATGGGCTTTTTATTATTAAAACAAAAACAAAACCTGAGTATTATCACTTAGAAACCTGAAATTGAACTCCAAAAGCCAAAGAGTATGGGAAATTAACTTCAATTTATTTGTTACTGTTCTACAAAAGATTACCAGTGTACTAATTTTAAAGTGTCCATATTACAAAGTATTTTAGATATGGAATAGTTGGTTGTTTACTGTGTACGCTGTTAGCTGTAATATGACATTTGGGCTAGCTGTATGTTAGGTATTTATAAGTAAATGATGCTCTTTGCCTCAGTGTACCAGAGGAAACTTTATGCTCTGCTGCCTGGGCCATTTTGTATAGCAAGGGCTAAGGTCTCTATATATCTGCCATTATTGTAGCATTCTGAACACTTCATATCTTGAAATGTGTTCATAAATATATCCTTCAGACTTCCTTATATAAATGTCAACTTCGGTGATAAAAATGTAGTAGAGTTCATGTAATGTTTTTATTTTGAACATTATCAAGTAACTGCAATTCAACGTATATAATACTCTTTCTAAATTAGTAAAATATTTTTCTTTATTTTATCATCATGTGGACATTATTCCAGTGAGCCAGTTAATAGATAATTATCATTGAAGAGCATTCATATTATCTATCAGGAGCATTCAGAATTTGAGCAAAGATCTCTTGACTTCTAAGTACTTTAGAAATTGTGAACCCTTAAAACCTTAATACCATAAAATGATTTCTAAAAAGGTACCTTAAGTCTTCAGAATGAATAAACCATATAAAACATCTAAGAACTTTTGAATTCATGTGTTTCTAAAAGTTCGTATTAAGTTTTAAAAGTGGGAAATTACAGAATGTTGAATGATACTCCAAAGTGGAAGTCATTAGGATTTTTTTTAATGTATAGAACCAAATGTATACTTTTATCAAATGTAGGTAGGAAAATATTGGTTCTTGGGAGTTTGTGTGTGTGTGTGTGTGTGTGTGTGCGCGCGCGCACCCACTGAAACTGAATTTATTTGGGTCCAAATACAAGGGTGGTTTTTTTGGGTTTTTTTTCCTCCATTTCATAATTTTTTGAAGTGTTTATAAGCAATATAATTGGATAAAATTATTGTATCTGCTCCCAATTTTTAAAAACTGGTTTCTACATGATTATAAAGATTATATAAAACATTTAAAAATTAATACCATTAAGCTTGTGATTTTTGATGTTGGGGGGAGAAAAACCCCTATTTAAAGGCTTAAAATGATGTTTGACTTTTTAAGTAGAAATGAATCTCCTATACTGATTCTCTAGAGCCATTTGCAACATTTAAACTACTGTATTTCTTTCTGCATTGTTTCTAGTTTATTAACCTTGCAAGAACTCTTCAGGCACATATGGAAGATCTCGAAAGTAGGTGGAATTTCCCCTCCCCAGACTTGTTGAATTTACTTTTGCAAATTAAACCCAAAGCAAAACCTAAGTATATCTTCTGTTCTGCCAAATTAGAGCTCATTTATAGACTTAATAATACCAAAATGATTGATTTGGGAAATATGGGTTGGGCAACTGACATTAGTGTTTTTTGTTTTCTTTTTTTTAAAGCATATTTTAAGGTATGGAAGGATGTAATTTTAACTGCATTTTACTTTTTTTTTCAAAGAGAAATTTATTGTTGATCACCTTGATTTCAGGATTTATAATAAAAACGAAGGCATAAATCTTAACTACTAATCAAACCACATTTCTTAATCTGTTAGGATTTTGTTTTGTTTTGTTTTTGGTAAGAAATTTTACCTGTTACTCAGCTTTGTTAGATCATAAGAGATTATTCCTGGGCTTATATATGATTCCAGGAAAATATGGGACAGGGAATCCTAATTCTGAATCCATATCAGAAGCCTAAAGGGCTTTTGTTTGTGGGTTTTTTTTTGTTGTTGTTGTTTGGCTTTTTGTAGGTCCTCATGGACCTTTAATAGGTAGCCAGCGCTGCCAACAGCTCCAGTCTCTTAAGATCACATTCCAGCCTCAGGATTTCTGGCTGGGATTATAAGTGAAGGCACTTAATTCTCAAATCTTTACAGGCATCTGTACAGCCTATCCTCTTCTTAATGTCCTGTAACTTCCAGTGTGCTTCATACCATGTGGGCACATGTATTGGCTCTGGAACAGCTAGAAATTGAAGATTACCCCACCCACCCCCTAAATATTTTACTTTTTCACCCTTTGTTGCCCATTCCAAAACACTACCTGAAGTGTCTTTTTAAAATATGTATTCTTCAGTTGAATACTGAAGAATTACTTTCTGTTCTCATCTTCAAATTATTTGGAATGTTATCTATAGTGCGCACAACATTTTTACTTTTACAGAAAGCTCAGCATCCTTTGAAGTAAGGTTTAAAAAAGACTTAGTCCTCATAGGAACCTTTTAATTCTAGGTAATCTAAATCATAGATTTTTGTCATTAATTCTATACTACTTTCAACTTTTAAAAGGTCTTGAGATGAAACCAGGTAACATATTTTCACAATTTTAATTAGGATATGTGAAAAGAAAGGAGTCAGTGCGAATTCACTTGGTATAAAATTTTTTCTCTTTATACCTTCTTTCAGATCCCTTAGGTTGGCCTAATACAAAGGTCTCTGTTTTTTAAAATTACAATTTATACTTTGTCCAATATCATGATAGTAATTTGTTTCAGTGTATGTTTTCCCCAGATTTCTCCATTTTAAAAAACTAACATTCTCGTTTAAAATTTGATTTCTTAAACATAGTATTGTCTACTCCTAACATGTGGGAAGAGAAAGATGAAGGTGAAATATGTCCAAACTCAAATGAGCATGAAAGACAAGGGGCAAGTTAACCCCTAAATATCAGAGTATTAATACATTCTGAAATGGGTTCTGACTAAATTGTCCTCTCCTGTAGAGTTAAATGGAAAAACACAAGAAGTTCCTTAATAAGCTATATAATCTTTTAGTTTGGTATTTCTCAGTGATACAGCATAAGAGTTTATATCAGTCATGAGTTAGTTATATGCTTGTGTCATTTATTAAATAGATTTAAATCTATTAGTGTTGCATAGTTTTTCTGTGCTTTGCCCTAGGTTGATTCTGTTTGTTGGATGCTCTTAATTTGTCCAGTGTAAATATAAATAGAGAGTGCATTAAGCCTTTTTGCCCTTGATAATGGGGGAAAGATGCTGGTTAGATGTTTATTTTAGTGAGCTTGCATTTTCTTTCACATGCAAAGCAGTTCACAGAATTCATAGTTTTATACTTACTATGTCTTTCCTAAAGACACCGAGGATGCTTTATTTTTAACTCTTGAGCCACTAGTGACTCTTGAATAAATTGAGGTCAGAAATGTTGCAAAAGTGATAAGTTTCTGACAGTGTGGAGAAAGGGGAATAATCAACAGTAGGTTTTTACTGAATCCAATTATTTTAATTTAGGCTGTGTCTATATGAAGCTTTTTTGACTTACTAAATGAACTTTTATCTTGGCATTGTATAGACATAGCTTTGATGTAAATTGCAAGAACACCCATAACCTCTTATTCTATGTACATTTCTTTTCATTCTCATCGGATGCATCAAACATGCAGCGGTAATAAGCCAGATTCTACTCAGGTGTGTGAGAGCACTTGCCTTAAGTTCACTTTTTTCCTGGTGTTTATATATCATTAGCTACTATGAACACAGACTGAGCTCAGAAACATTTTAGAAGATGCTCTTGAACCACATTTTTAAGCATTTTCATTTTTATAAAAATTGATATAACATTACAAAAAGATGTGGGGGCGGGAGCATTGTGGTTGGGCATCACCCAGTCAAACCACCCTAACCCTGTCATACAACTTATCATTTTGATCAAACAGTATACTAAATTGGGATTTTTGTTTTTACAAGTCATTGCTGTTCTGGCTTCATATTTACACTTCCCATTCTTATCCCCCTTAAAATCATTCTTGATCATCCTGTTTTCTTTCAACAGCTTCAGAGGATGATTCCGAAGAAGATGGAGACCATAACAGGACATTTGATATTGCCTAACTTCATATAAGACAGATGGATGATCTGTAAACACAAATGTTTATTAAAAATGGCAATTAAATATAAATTACTTTTGTGGGGGAATGGCTAATAAATACATTTACTATATATAAAATGAATATATACATACACATGTATGCCTGTATATATATATTCATTCTCAAGTGTTGCTGAATTAAAATTCTGCTGGACTTTTTAACATAGCAAATCTGATGTTTATAAACTGGTAATCAAAAAGGTTTTTTTCTTTTAAGTAAGTGGGGAAGTATTACCCTTGTTTTAAATAAGCAATGCCTATCAACCCTTTTTTTGTGTTCTGATTACTGTAGTCTTATTTATGAAAAAAGGTTTGTGTTTTACTCTTGCTAGTGAGAAAAGTGGGACAAAATATACTTTTGAAATAAAATGCTATATGGCACCTAATTATTTTTTCTTTTAAAATGCCTTAAGTTGCAGTCTCATTTTGATAATCATTTGCTTCCAGTGTTTAAAAATTTAAAAAAGAATGGGGAGGTTATGAGAAGAGCATTATATTAGGTTTCCAAATTTAATTTGAATTCCAAATTCACTTAGCAATAAAATCTAATTTTTAAAAAGTATATAAATATAAAATGTATAAATGATGGATAGATTTTTGTATTGATTTGCAGAATGCAGATTATATTTGATAGGCTATAGTATGTAGATATTCCTTTTAGGAATATTACAGCTCTAAATTATATGAGACTTGCCAGTCAAATGCTATTTGGTTTAAAAAAAAATTATTGCAGTCTTAAGTTAATGGAATATTTTTAAATCCCACATTCAGAGTTTAAAACACTGGTTTTCAATGTGTTTTTTAGTGTTGTCACTTCTTTATAGATAAATATATAAATAACCTGTTTGGATCCTGGTCGTTTCTAACTGTTCCTTGGTAATTCTGAGCATTTATTTGATGACTTAATATTTTTCACTACCTTTGGAGAACAGATGAACATTATTTACCACGAATGGATCTATACTGTGGTCATGAGTTGTGTATACTTCCACAACACTGTATTTTTCTTCTGTCAATACCCTTAGGATACACTTTAAAACACCTTAAGGTCTGATGTTATGGCAACAAACTACTTTTTCAAACCTAAATGGAACCATGTAATTTCTCAAGTGAATGAACAATTTGCCCACACTTAGTTTGTTGGTCTTATGTAAAACATTGGCTCGAAATAAAGTGCACACTGATTTATTTTACAGTTTGAAATGTTTCCTTTTAAACTGGTGCTCAAAGAAGACATCAAACTTCATAACCAATAATTTTATTAAAATTGCAAATCTCATTTTAAGCAGTAATATAAATGTTCTAAAATATTGCTCACCTCTTGCCAGTTATCTTTGCATTGTCTGTCTTAAAGCAAAAATATAAAATTTTAGGGTGGTAGTTTTAATATATTCTGTGGGTCCTTAGGGATGCTTTGAATTTGAAGTATATATACTTTTAATAAAATTCAGTATGACAATTATGTTCTGCTTAACCCATAAAACTTTATTTAAAAATTTTAACTAAATGGTACAAAACATTGATTGGTATGCATATAAGATAATTCTGTATAGTTTTGTCATTAAATGCTAAATGACAGTGATAACAATGGCTTAAGCTTTACAGTATTCTTTTAGTTCCCTAGTACCACTTAGTATTTAAATATTGTCATATTAGCTTCAGATTATCATGTAAATGACAGTAGAGGAATTAGAGAAAAGGCTTTCATTGGTTATCAGTTTTAAATTCTGAACAAAAGAGACCATACACTGCTCACTACAAAGAATGCAATTTTCTAAGAAAATGCAGTTTAAAATGTTACTCTAAATATCTGCCAAAGGATTAAATTGTTATTACTAGCTAAAACCAAGATGTTGAAGAAAGCAGTTTCTACATTCTGAATGTAGTAAACAAGCCTGCGTGTGTAATCCAATTATCTCTTGACTAATGAGTAGATAAGGGGCCTGTTATAGATGTTCTGGTATATAAAGAAAATTAAAATGTAGGCCGAGCGTGGTGGCTCACGCATGTACTCCCAGCACTTTGGGAGACCAAGGTGGGTGGATCACTTGAGACCAGCCCAGCCAATATGGTGAAACCCTGTCTCTACCAAAAATACAAAAAGCCAGGTGTGGTGACAGATGTCTGTGGTCCCAGCTACTAAGGGGACTGAGGCAGGAGAATCGCTTGAAAACCTGCAAGGCGGAGACTGGAGTGAGCCAAGATTGAGCCACTGCACTCTAACCTGGGCGACACAGCGAGACTCATCATATATGTATATAGCACTTCATTACCAGAGGCCATGAAACCAAATATTGAAAATTAAATCAGAGTTTAAAACAGCTGTTTTGGAAGAGTTGCCATTAGGTAGAAAGTATCAAAACATACAAAAGAAAGTTGTATGGGAGTTGAGTGGAAGGTAGGATTTAAGAGCAGCACTGCCCAATAAAGCTTGCTATAATGAAAATGTTCTATGATGTATGTTGCCCAGTATGGTAGCCACTAACCACCTGTGATTTGAACACTTGACAATGTGGCTAATGTAATTGGGAAACTGGATTTTAAACTATACTTAATTTACTTAAATAGCCTCATGTGGTTAGTGGCTCATTGGACATTGTAGTTCTAGATGTTTGAGAGTGTTGGTTTTAAGTTGGACTTAATCACTTTCCTACCCAAATTCTACCACTCCTTTAAGAACTCCTTTAGAACTCTTAGTTGATATAATACGCCATAATTTTACTTTGCCTGTAGTTCTTCAAGGAGTGGTACAATTCGGATAGGAAAACCAGGGAGGAATTCCAAGGTAGTGTTCAGTATTGACATTAGTAATAGTCTATCAATAATAAAATAGACATCTCAAACACTACACCACATCTCAGAAATGTAAAGCTCTTACAGAGCATGCTTGTGCTTATGTAACAGCTGGTGTAATGCCTGCATTTTCAGTACTACATAGCCACACTGTTAATAGTTTTGTGTCACTTTTTAGTTACTTATGTCTCATTAATGATAGTGCCGTTAATTGTGATGAGTGTTTTCGATTCATGTGGTCAATAAAAAGATTACAAAAGCTGGGACTTTGTTGCCATTAGTCAAGCTAGTGAGATAGTGTATCTCCCCATAAGAAAGTAAGATAATTGATGGGGTGTGGATTCAGGAGAGGGATTACTTTTCTTTGAGCTTCAGACTTACTAAATATAGACAATATACTTCAGTCAGTAATGGATCACATATAGAACAGTGTTCCCTTAGTAGACCATATTTTTACTGTGCCTTTTCTATATTTAGATACACAAATACCGTTGTGTTACAGTTGTCTGCAGTATTCGGCACAGTAACATGCTGTGTAGGTTTGGAACAAAATAGGCCATACCATCTGGGTTTGTGTAAGTACAAGCTGATTTTCACACAAGAAGATTCCCTAACTATGCATTTCTTAGAACGTATCCCCATTGATAAGTGATACATGATTAATTTATGTGAAATTTATACATTCTATCTTTCCTGTTTTTGATTTATTGATGGTGAGGAAAACACTCATTTCAGCTTTTTCATTTTTTTACTCCCCAAATGATTTTCACCTTTTTCTTAAAATGTACAATAAATGCACTGAAAACTGATCATTGTCACTACAGTTGTACTTAGTGTTTTTCTTCGGTTTTTGTTTACAGAGTTTTCATGTCGTTGAAGGAAAAATTTATAAATGCTTGAGGAGAATGAAATACTTTGTACAGGGGAAGGTACAAAAGGTACGGTGGCAAGAAAGAAATCCTTAAAGGGGCACTAGGATATATAAGTGTTAACCTAATTGCCAGCTTTCTCCATGCCATCCTGGAGACAGCGATCATATTTTGTTTCAAAAGACTTATAAACATTAATTAAAACTTGAGTCATTTGTGATAAAATGGTGTGTGTAATGAAACTAAAATTATGTGGTGTGGGGTGTTAAAAGTTGTAAAATTTTCTTCATCTAAATCATAAAAGGAAATACACATTCTAGAGGAATTATCTGCCAAAGAAACAATTATCAAAGATACTTAAATGTATGGAATGTACTTAAAATCACTTATTCCCCATTTCATGTTTACTAATAAACGTATGTGGTCAACTAGAAGGGAAGATACAGCAGGCAAGATAAATAGGCTGAGCTTTTATTTTTATCTGCTTCTTGGGCTTTAAGCTTTCCTTCATTCAAGTGACAGATTCTGCATTTGACGGGATGCTTAAAATCACTATATTAGATCTAAGATCATTTCTAAAACCTGTTTTTTTAATGAACCTAAAGATTCTTTTCACAACATGAATACATAAAAATGTTACTGGAATAAGGAAAACCATTAAAGCTCTAATATCCAATGTCAAGTTTTATATTAAAATTTTTCCCAAGAATCTCTGCCAGGGCATTTTGTTGATGTCTTAGTGCAAGATTACCAAAAACTTACTCAAATTGAACAGGATATTCATTTTCTTCTCCAACTACCAAAACACAGTCTTCGTTATAAGGTGATTGGGGTGCGGTTGAAAAAACTGTGGTGAAACGAGAATCAGAATGTTTTTTGTACAGGAACCAAATGATTGCTCCCAAAATTGTCAAAATTACTATGCTAGCAATCACCAAAGCTGATATTAAAATATGGTTATCTGAAAAGGAAAAGACAAAAGAACATATGGGAGATTAGGGTACACAAGTTGCAAGTATATTTTGATGAGCACAACTGTAGTTTTTTTAAACATTTCTCTGTTGAGAATTTCCCACACTGATGAGAAAACCAAAAATTGCACATTTGTTCCTATCAAGATTTATATTTCTTGGCCTGAAGAATATTACTCAAATTTTCTAGGAAGTTGTGCACTTCTCCACTCTACTGAAGATCCCAAAATGGAAATCACCCAAGTACACCATGCTCCAGTTTGTGTTCCTTTGCTTTACTTTCTAAGACTACAAATTCAGACCTACTGTTCCCTTTAGGAATTCTAGTATTTAGATAATGTGTTACATTATTGAGGTTTAATGGTTCACCTGGCTTTGGGGATTTAAGATTTGTTTAACTGAAAAAAACACCCAAGAGCTGCAGTAAAAGTACCTTGCTTTTGGGTGTCTGCATTCATTCATTCTTTGTGTGTTTCCCTAAAGTTCTATAAGTATGTACAACTTTGCAGTTCTTGCCTATTCAAACCCTTGTAATCTTTCTATAAGAATCCAGTTTAATAAATTGAGGAAAGTAACTTGGTTTAGGAGGATGAAAATACTTTTGGGCAGGTACTTGTATTATGTATAGTAATAGACTAAAGAATGTGAAAAATTTTCAGAATAATTTTGACAGATTTTTGGATTATTATATTCATAATACCCATTATTTCTAACTGGTGCTTGTTAAAATGAGACCTGGAAGTATATAAGATTAGTGAGATAAATCTGGCCAAATTATTTGTTAAAGTGAGGGAGAGCCATTGATATTTTTCAGATATTGACAGGATTTTTTGGGAGGAGTGAGGAAATGGTCACAAGTGAATTATCTTTTAATCCTGAAATAAAATTTGGTAGTAAAGATTTGGTAAGGTGTGAGGGTGGATTTGTTGGTATTATTAAAGACATTAAAATGAAAAAAAAAACGCCAAGAATTCTGTAAACTGAGTTCAAATGGGGTTCTTCCATAGTTTCTGGCTACAGCAACCTCCGCCTTCTGGGTGCCAGTGATTCTCATGTGTTAGCCCGGGTAGCTGAGATTACAGGCACATGCCATGATGTCCAGCTAATTTTTGTATTTTTAGTACAGAGTTTTGCCATGTTGCCCAGGTTGGTCTGAAACCCCTGGCCTCAAGTGATCTGCCCCCCTCGGCCTCCCAAAGTGCTGGGATTACAGGTGTGGACCACTGTGCCCAGCCCCGTAGTTAGTTTTCTTAAAATTAACATAGCCCATTTTCAGTGTAGAACCTTAACTTTACCAATGTGAACACACTTTATTTCAGTCTACTAATGATTGTACAGTAATAGCTTCATAATCAGTAGCATCTACGTTAAAAATAGGTATTACATGATGGTAATACAGAAAAACAAGTCTGAAAGATCATGGTAATTGAGAAATATTTACACACTAAATCATATAGCTTTAAAAGACCTGGTATCCTAAGAACTGGACAGCATCCAAGATGGGTGAGACACAGTAAGTATATATGCTGCTTTTATTTTCACATTCTGCAAGTGACCTTTAGCCAAAGTTGACTCCAGGGGTTTTAGTTAGCTGCATACTATTAAATGTGTGACAAAGTCAGTTGTCAAGGCAACTGATGAGCAGTGTATTAAAACAATGTGTAGTTTGTATCTGGAGGTTAGGATAGTTTTACATTAGGAAATCTATTATCTACCTCATTAATTAAAGGAAAAATCCATTGCTTGAGCGTATAATAGCTATTTACCATGAAATCCTACTTTTTTAAAGAAAATTTAGGAAAAACACTTTTTAGCCTAACAAACAATGTTCCTTACTTGAGGAGACATAACAAACACTGAAACAAGCTTTCACTTCTTTGTCATTTCTTAAGCCCATTTAATCCATTTTCTCAACATTCTGAAATTCCTGTGGCAAAGGTCAACAATGATCTCTTCATGACTACATGCATAAACACGTGAATGTTTTAGTTCAGCCTGAGGCAACTAGATTGTTAGCGGTCCAGACTTGAAGTTATCTCCTCACTTGGCTTCCTTGACTTTGCTCTCTTCTGTTTTTCAGACGACTGCTTCCTAGTCATCTTTGTGGACTCAAAGCTTTCCATGGTTGATCTCAACCATTCAAGTTTTGTATGTAAATCCATAGATAAATATGTGTGTGTACCCCCACTTTACTCCCAAATCCCTTCTGAATTCCTGCAAATAGCCACTGCCCAGTCATCCAATCTGGAAATTATAGACTTCCTCTCTATTAATTATCAAGACTACACATTTTTTTTCTGTTTCCTATTTGACTGCTACTTTCATGCCCTAGTTCTAAACACTGATCATCTGAGGACCGAACTATGTATAATCCACCTCAAAAACTATATGAAACATTTTGTTGGGCTGTAACCTCAGGTTAGTTTGAGTGCCAACTGTGTGCATTTAATTCTGAGGCACGGGGTTTAAATGACTTGCCCAAGTCCATTTAGTGACAGCAAAAATTCAGCCCTTCACCTTGGTCCTGATTTGTCATCTCAGATAACCTGTCCTTGAAGATTTAACTCCCGTGTCCTCTCTAGTAACCTTTGCTGAACCCAGCTTGGACTAACTTGCCCTTTCCTGTCTGCTTGCCACACTAGGTGCATCCGACGATGGACACCTTAATTCTGTTGAAAGTATTCTTCCCAAGGGAGTCTTCCAGCTTACACTTGGTATGAAGGGGAACTCCCTGTTTGCCAAGATTGCAGCTACACTTAATTATTGGGTGGTTTTCCTTGCTGCTTCAACTCCCATGTTCTCTACCGTTACTCCTTAAAGTCAGACTAAGCCTAATCCCTGTCTATCTACATGACAGGCTTTCACTTTAACTTTAGGTCTTCATTCTGCAAACTCATGGCCTTATCAAATGAGGCCTTCCCTGGCCACCCTACGAAAAATAAAAAGTACAGCACCTCCCTTCTTGCACTGGAATTCATCCTTATTTGCCTGTTTTCCCTATAGGATATGTCACTATCTCACGTATTTTTGTTTTACCCTTCCCACTAGAATGTATGCTTGAGAGCAGGGGCTTTTGTTTTGTTCATTGCTCTGTCTTCAATGTAACTTTAGGAGAAAGTCTGACACACAGTATTTACTCACTAAATTATACACACATATTTAATATAGATTTACATACACATATATACATGTAATGAATTTAGAGATTACTTTTTCTGTAGTCTGAAGACCCTATGTTGCCAGATGTTTCATCTATTCATGGTTTTGAAGCCATAGATGTATTTTTTTCTAAATGTTCCAACTTACATGTATCTCTGTTTTTTCCAAAGTAATACATTTACATAGCTTAGAAATCAGCTAGAAGATACGTAATGAAAATACTGTGCTCCTGCTCCACTACTACTCACCTGAACATCCATTCCTTAAAGTTAACTACACTCCTGTTGCTTCAGCTATTTATCTCCATGTCTAAATAACATGCTTCTGCTACTTGATTTTTTTAAATGTAATTTAAAGAATTACATGTAACAAATAATAGGTGAGCAGTAGCATTAAGTATATTCACTTCGTTGTGCTACATCACCACCATCCATTCACAGAACAACTCATTTTGTAAAATGGAAACTCTACCTATTAAACTCCCATTTCTCCCTGACCTAACCCTTGGCAAAGAGTTTCTTGGTGAGGTTGACTACTTCAGGTACCTCATACTGTAGGTAAGAATTATACAGAACTTGGCCTTTTGTGACTGGCTTATTTTTCTTTTTTTCTTTTTTTTTTTTTTTTTTTTTTTTTAGATGGAGGCTTGCTCTGTCTGGCCCAGGCTGGAGTGCAGTGGAGCGATCTCGGCTCACTGCAGCCTCTGCCTCCAGGTTTCACGTAATTTTTTTTTTTTTTAGTAGAGACGAGATTTTGCCATGTTGGCCAGGCTGGTCTCCAACTCCTGACCTCAGGTGATCCACCCGCCTCGGCCTCCCAAAGTGCTGGGATTACAGGCGTGAGCCACTGCGCCCGGCCTGTGACTGGCTTATTTTGTTTAACCTAATGTCCTTCAGGTTTATGAATGTTGTAGCGTGTGTCAGAATTTTCGTGTCTTTTAAGGCTAAATGATACTCATTTGTATGTGCAGATTACATTTTGTTTATCTCTTCATCAGTGGACACGGGTTGCTTCCACCTTTTGGCTATGGCAAATGATGCTATGAACATAGATACACAACTATCAAAGAGATGGGTGTACGGATATTAAAGACTCCTTGCTTTCAGTTATTTGGGATACATACTGAGAAGTGGAATTGCGGGATCATATGGTAATTTTAATTTTTTTGAAGAACTACCACACTGTTTTTCACAGAGGCTGCCCCATTTTACATTCCCACCACAAGAGTTCCAATTGCTGCATATCCACACTAATGCTTGTTATTTATTGTCTTCTTCCTATAGATGAATGAAGATGTAATTCCTGTATACACACAAACTCAACACTTCTTTTCTTCTCCTCTGTCATAGTTCTATCGTCGTAACCCCCAAATAGAAAACTGACAAAGGACTCAGATTCAATTTTTTTTGTTTTTAGATATAGTCACTCTGTTACTGAGGCTGGAGTGCTGCAACCTCCACCTCCCAGGTTCATGTAATTCTCCCTGCCTCAGCCTCCCAAGTAGCTGGGATTATAGGCACTCGCCACCGTGCCCGGCTAAGCTTTGTATTATTTAGCCCGGCCCATATCCAAATTTAAAGAAACAAAAGTTATTTTAAAAATTCCTACCAATAATAAAGGCAACTCGATAAAAATAATATGGGTGGCTGGGCATGGCGGCCCAACGCCTGTAGTCTCAGCACTTTGGGACGCTGAGGTGGGTGGATCGTTTGAACCCAGGAGTTTGAGACTAGCCTGGGTAACAGGGTGAAACCCCATCTGTACAAAAAAAATTATCTGGGTATGGCGACCCACACCTGTAGTCCAAGCTACTTGGGAGGCTGAGGTGGAAGAATTGCTTGAGCCCAGGAGGTCGAGACTGCAGCGAGTCAAGCTCTGCACTCCGCACTCCGAAAATGGGTAAAAGCCTTTTCACAAAAGATATACAAATAAATAATCATCTGAAAGGTGCTCAACATCATCAGGTAAATGAAAATGAAAGCCGCAAAAAGATCACTACACACCTGATCTGAATGGCTAAAAATAAAGAAATTGACAATACCATCATGGGATGAACATGGAGCAAATGGAACTTGGACACGCTGCCAGTAGTAACATGATTTAAGCATTTTGAAAAATTATTTGGTGGTTTCTAATAAATCTAAATACATATACTTGCCCTGTGACCCAGCTTTCTACTTTCTAGAATATACTCAAAGAAAATGAGAACATAGTCCAAAAGAAGATGTATGAGAATGTTCGTAGGCAGCTCTATTCAAATTAGTTTGAAACTAGAAGTGATCCAAATATCCATAAACAAGAGAATGGACAATATATGATATATTCATAAAGTATTATAAGGCTTAGGAAAAAAATTCAGTGAATGTGCACAACACAGATGAATCTAAAAAAAATTCCCAAGTCAAAGAAGCCAGACAAAACTACATATTGTAGAATATATTTAAAATGTCGAGTCTTATTACTAAGAGACCTTTCTACATTCTTACAAAAATTGTTCTACTTTGTATTACATAATTTTTAAAAGGGATCTGTAATAGTATTTTAATATGCCAGAATTTTGATATATTTTTAATTGTGGGAAAAATTTAAAGACCAAATCATCACTTACCTGATAAATATTTCCTTTTGTATGGAACTAAAATATGAAAGAAAATTAAAATTAGAATTTAATTATGCTTTATTATAGGATTGACTTTAAACATGTTCACAATCATTAAAAATAAACCCTTTTATTAGTAGCTTAATATCAACATATTCATAGCTTAAAATCCGTATTTCTTTGCCTCATTAATTGTCTCTTGTCTGTTTTGAACTTAGTTTTTAAAGAAAGCTGTAGAGGGCTCACAACATGCATTAGCTTGGTTGGTGGAAATGAATATGGGATCTTGAGGAAAAGACAATAATGAGGTAAAGGAAAAAAGAGGATTCTGGTTGGAGAGTGTAGAAAACAAATGTCGTAAAATTAAACAACTGTGACCCTAACTACCTTAGTATAGATGTACTCACTATTTCTGATGTTTTGAAGTTATAGTTTAATTAAAAACTTTATGTAATTGCACCATGAGGTGCAGTACCTGAAAAGAACCAATATTTTGCAAAACAAATATTTGAAGTTGAATACTACTACCATAAAACTATGATGAACATTTTGATAATCACTGTAAAACTAATAGTAGTCAAGGATCCTGCCGTTGCAAGTAAAGAAATGTACATACTTCCGTATGTAAAGAAAGGAATTAAGCAGAGCAGGATGTGGAGTTTTGGTTTACAGTTGAAGTAGAAGGGGAAAATACTAAGTATGCAAAATGGGGAAATGGTTGCTTATATCATGTTTCAAGCACCCCAAATTCATATTTTGAAACATTAAAAAACAAAACAAAACTTTTTTTGTAGAGATGGTGGTCTTGCTATGTTGACAAGGCTGCCTCAGCCTCAAAAAGTGCTGGGATTACAAGCATGAGCCACTGTGCCCAGCCCACATTTTGAAAATTTAAGTTTCTTTAATGAGAAAACATTTACTTTCTAAAACTTAGAATAACAAACTGTGTAGTATTTTAACAAATATCATCAAAATACTGTTGTGGGCCAGGATAATTCTGTTCATTAAAAAACCTTCTGGGCTGGACACAGTGGCTCACGCCTGTAATCCCAGCACTTTGGGAGGCCGGACGGGGGCAGACCACGAGGTCAGGAGTTTGAGACCAGCCTGGCCAATCTGGTGAAACCCCGTCTCTACTAAAAAATATAAAAATTAGCCGGGCATGGTGGCAGGTGCCTGTAGTGCCAGCTGCCTGTAGTGCCAGCTACTCGGGAGGCTGAGGCAGGAGAATTGCTTGAAGCCGGGAGGCAGAGGTTGCAGTGAGCCAAGATTGCGCCACCGCACTCCAGCCTGGGCGACAGAGAGAGACTCCGTCTCAAAAAAAAAAAAAAAAACCTTCTGATGGGTCAGAAGAAAACATTTTAATTCCAAATGAATTATAAACTATGATGTAGTTTTTGTTTGCCTAAACAAAGGATGTTCTTATGGAGAATCGAATTCCCTGTAAAGTAACACGAGAATTCTAGAATTATACATGATTATTCTTCACCACTTCTGCTCACTTAAATCACATGCAAAGAGATTATAATAATTCCTTTAGACAAGAAATTTTTGACCTCTTGCAAACACTAAGCAGATAGAATAAAAGTATGCCTATTTCATGTGATCTGGCCTTATCTCCTAAATGTAAGAGAATTATAATTTGAGTTCCAAGAGACTTAAGAGCAAACCATCCTATTAATATATTCTGAAGTCTTATTCTCTATTTTCTTTTCTTTTCTTTTTTTTTTTTGAAACAGAGTGTTGCTCTTTGCCCAGGCTGGAGTACAATGACTTATTCACCGCTTACTGCAGCCTCAACCTCCCAGGCTCAATTGATCCACCCACCTCAGCCTCCCATGTATTTGGGACCACAGGTGCACACTACCATGCCCAGCTGATTTTTGTATTTTTTGTAGAGACGAGTTTTCGCCATGTTGCTCAAGCTGGGAACTCCTGCACTCAAGGAATCCACCGCCTCAGTCTACCAGAGTGCTGGGATTGCAGGTGTGAGCCACCGTGCCTAGCCTTATCCTATTTATTGAGGCATACTTATCTCAAAATTATTTTAAAACCAGCCCTACTTTCCCTGCCCCTCCTAGAATGGAAAAACACCTTCAGTCATACTTACTAGCTGTTTTGCATAGTGTTCCTTCCACAAAAGAAACTTCACAATTTCCTTTTTTCCATTCACCTGTCTTGATGTGCAGAAAAGCACAGGTGTCAATTAAATCCTCCCCATCATCTTGGTCTGTCCACTTATCAAATGTCATATTTGAATTATCAAACCACTTGAAACTCGCATCTGTCAATTAAGGAATATTTTCAACATTATGACAGTTTTAAAAGGTGTTCAAGTCGAAAAGCGTGTAGTATTAAAGGTGGAAAGTTACTAAGGTATGTCTGGTCTAAACTTTTGGTTGTAGGATTAAAATTAGAAGGAGGAATATATCCTGTGTACAGCCAAATCATCAAAAGCTATCGATTTAAGAGGTTTCTGAAGATGATTCAGTTTTTGCAAAAATATATACATGTATAATATTCTTATGGGAAAAGTCAAGAAAAATAGTTAAATGTTAGTAGTAACCTTAGTAATTTCATTTCACTTGAAAATGTTTACATACGTACTTTATATTTGTCTACAGTGATGATAAATACATTTATATAATAGAACCGTGATAATTTACTCTATCCTTAGCCTATTAGTTGCAGATGCTAATACTAACTTTTATGATCATGCTATATTACAAAAATACTGAGCCTTAGAGCCACATTTTAATCCAGACAAGAATCAACTGTGGCTTTCATCTGTGTAACTCATTGAGCTATGCAGATACAAGCTGTGGTACGATCATAGCCGCACACTGAAAATGTAACACCTGGAGGCCACAGGAATCATCAACTTGAACTAGAGAATTGAAGAGCCATCAGTTTTACTACATTAAAAAAGAACAAAGTCACGTCCCACGAGGTAAATATCACTTACCATCTGTGTCATAAAACATGCCTAGTAGGATATCATCTGAGCCTTTCCATTGCTTTTTCAAAGTATCCAATATAAAAGCATTTTCTTCTTCATTATGTATGCTTATCATGTCCGCTCCTGAAATTATTTTAAAGAGAAAAAAGTCAGCATATTCTAGAATCAGTGAAAATCACTAGGTAAATAAAAATAATAAATAGTTGCTTAACTTTCTATATATATTAGAGCTGGACAATGAACTTTGATCTTACGGTTCATACAAGCTAATAAGGTTACAGGGACATGTCTTGGCTCTCAGCCTTGAATATGATTTATGTCATTGAAATTACGTTTATGTCTCAGTATACCTAATACAATTTTTTTTTAAGGGATAGAAAACAGTTGTAGGGGCCGGGCGCAGTGGCTCATGCCTATAATCCCAGCACTTTGGGAGGCTGAGGCGGGTGGATCACCTGAGGTCAGGACTTCGAGAGCAGCCTGGCCAACATGATGAAATCCTGTCTCTACCAAAAAAATATTAAAAAAAAAAAAATTAGCTGGGTCTGGTGGCACGTGTCTGTAATCCCAGCTCCTCAGGAGGCTGAGGCAGGAGAATTGCTTGAACCCAGGAGGTAGAGGTTGCAATGAGCTGAGATCACACCACTGCACTCCAGCCTGAGCAACAGACTGAGAATCCATTAAAAAAAAAAAAAAAAGTAAAAAGGAAAGAAATGAACAAAGAAAGAAAGAGAAGAAGGAAGGAAGAGAAAAAGAAAGAGAAAGACGAAAAGAAAAAGGAAAAGGAAGGAAAGAAAATAGTTGCAGGGGAAAACTTGATTTAAAAATATTCTAAGACCAGCAGAATTGCTATTATTTTATTTCAGCTGCCTTGAAATAAAACCATATTGACATGTTGGAAATTTTGTCTTGTTTTCACAGAGCCGATGTTCATGTAGGACTTTCTCAAAGGGAAACAACATATATGTATTAAGTACTATGTGGCACTTTAATAACATTAATAATTTCAGTGTTTACATTTATTCCTTCTATAATAAATGTATATGATTTTTATTAAGGTATCCTTAATACAGTTTGAAACATTCTTCCAAATGTTATTGTTGAAGAATATAACAGTAATAAAAAGCACCTTTAGGCTGGGCACGGTGGCTCACGCCTGTAATCCCAGCACTTTGGGAGGCCGAGGCAGGTGGATTGCCTGACCTCAGGAGTTCGACACCAGCCTAGCTAACATGGTGAAACCTTGTTTCTACTAAAAATACAAAAAATTAGCCAGGCATGGTGGTGCACCCCTGTAATCTCAGCTACTCCAGAGGCTGAGGCAGGAGAATCGCTTGGACCCAGGAGGCAGAGGTTGCAGTGAGTTGAGATCACACCACTGCACTCTAGCTTGGGCAACAAGAGTGAAACTCCATTTCAAAAAAAAAAAAAAGTGTCAAAATAATTAGAGGCTCAATTGGGCCCAATAGCCAAATATATAAATAGCCTCCAAGCACAGTCTTTAAAAAATGACATTTTTTGGCTGGATGCAGTGGCTCACACTTATAATCCCAGCACCTTGGAAGGCCAAGGTGAGAGGATCACTTAAGGCCAAGAGTTTCAGACCAGCCTGGGTAACATAGTGAAACCCCGTCTCTACAAACAAACAAACAAAATAGCTAGCGCACATCTGTAGTCCTGTCTATTCAGAGGGCTGACATGGGAGGATCACTTGAACCCAGGAGTTCAAGGCTGTAGTGAGCTGTGATCATGCCACTGCACTCAAGCCTGGGTGACAGAGCAAGATCCTGTCTCAAAAAAAAAAAAAAAGATATTTTTATTTCAAATATTTTACAATGTGAAGTTATAAATCTATTTCCTAGAGAACACTGAGTGTATGCTCTAGCAAATCGCCTTTTTATAATTTTTCCTTGATATACTCTTTTTTACTACAGTCTTACTTCATGGTCCTATGTAATCTGACTTCAGCACTTTCCAGGAGAATAACTAAGTGATTAAGAACTCTAAGCCTAAAATCCAACAGACCTGGGTTAAAATCCTGGCTTTGTCAATTATTTCCTGTGTTACCTTGAACAAATAACTGAAGTTAATTTCATCTCTCAATAAAATGATGATAATACACTACTTGATAGGTTTGTTATGATAATTAAAGCCAGGTAAAGTATATGGTGTGCTTAACCACAGTGCCTGGCACAGGATATGCATGTTGAATAGACCCTGCTTTGGACCATATTGTCCAACAACTGTCTTTCAACTCCAGGATTAAATATATACCCAATTCCACTGCCTGTAGCTTGTGTGTTGTCAAATAAAAGTTGTACATTAAATCTTAGGACCCAGTTAAAAGTCAGATGTGACAAAATCAGTTTTTAAAGAAATTAATGAACACTGTTTACTAATTTGTGAAAAAACAAACAGAAAAGAATAAGCCTTTTACCATGGTCAGTACACTGATTTCTGACATCCTCTATGCTTTCTACTTTGATGGCTTCTTGGAGAAAAATGTAGCAATTGTCTTGGAACTGAATCCAAGTAGATGAAGGACAGTCTATGTAGAAAAAAGAAGAACACTGTTAAATAACTTGAGAAAAAGAATTACATGAATTCCCAAAGATAAGGATATTAGATATTAAATTTTCACACACACACAAAGGCAATTTCCTTTGTTAAATCTTTATTAAAATAAGAAATCAACCAGTGTAACAGGAGTTTGTTTCTCTCCATTATACATACGGAAAAAGAGAAATGTGCCAATGATTCTCTTCTGACATTACAGAGCAAAGATACAAGTTTTTAGGTTGTTTAGGAATTCAAGGCAACAAACTATCTAGAAGACAGCCAATCAGGATTACACACTTCTGTTTGAAGGTTATCTTTGCAGTATTTAACAATTTCAAAAGTCTTAAGACTTTTACAAGGCCCTGTTGTTCAAATTATACCTCTAAGAACAGAAGAGAAAAAGAAGTTGCTAGCTTATAAATATTCACACAAGTTTTCATATTGCACAGGAAAACGAGACTGATGTTCTTATGAATGTCCTTAATTTAACACCTCATCAAAGTAGATTCTTTAAGGTAGTTCAATGAAATAGAACCATAACTCTTCCTCTACTGCTCTAAGGGGACATCTCCTTCACCTCTATCTTGGTCTCTTTTTGTTTATTATAAAGATGTGCATTTTTAAGCCTAGGCTCTAGAACCACTGTGACCCACCTAAATTTATTTTATATCCAAGTTTTTTTTCCTTCCAGCTGTTTTATAAGCACTTGAATTACACATATGACTACCTTGGGTTTAACTCTGGTAGGAATCTAGAACTCTCCCACAATGCTGGCTTAAAGATACGGTTGTTTTGCAGCAAACACTTTGCTTTGGGAAAATGTTCATTATGAAACATTAAAACAATCTGGCTATAAAATTACATGATACCAACATTTGCAAAGCAAAGAAGTCCAGAATAGAGTCAGGAATTGGAGAAGCCAGACAGCTTTGTAGGAGGAAGGTCTGAAAACAAGACACTTGGTTGAAAGTCTGTATATGGAGCAGGTAAATCCTTTCCCTGAGAAATAGCATTCAGCCATCTCAGGTTCATTACATATTTCTGCCACCTTCTTTGAAAATCTGGTCTTTATTCAGAGAAACTCTTATTCCTTCAAATCCACTTCCAGGAATTTAATCTAGATTTTCTAGTTGTTCTTAATGGGAGTATTAGTCTTCTACTCCATGATAGTGAGATGCAAAATTCCATCTTTTATACTTTTCAACAAGTTATCAACAACTGGTCCCCTATCTACCCATCATCCGTATCAGACATTTGCTGAGCAACTTCTACGTGTCGAGTATAATGCTTAGAATCCAGGCAGAGGGTGTATGATAAAAAGCACAGTTACAGGTACCTAGTAAGGTCTCCATAAATGTTCATTGAATGAGTGAACTAGGATGTAAAGGCAGATTTCTTCCCTCCTTCCCCTCTCTGCTGCCAGAGACATGACAGAGGACACAGCAGTCATTTCCAGAATAAAACTCAAACTGAAAGTCAAAAGGGCAGAGGCTCTAAATTACAAACTTCGATTACTCTTTCTCTTCTTTTTTCCCTCTTTTACTTTCGTCTGGTTCCTTTTATTGCTCTTTTTCTTTTACCTTATGGATTTTTTAAAAAATGAAATGGAGGCCGCGCGCGGTGGCTCAAGCCTGTAATCCCAGCACTTTGGGAGGCCGAGACGGGCGGATCACGAGGTCAGGAGATCGAGACCATCCTGGCTAACACGGTGAAACCCCGTCTCTACTAAAAATACAAAAAACTAGCTGGGCGAGGTGGCGGGCGCCTGTAGTCCCAGCCTCCGGGAGGCTGAGGCAGGAGAATGGTGTGAACCCAGGAGGCGGAGCTTGCAGTGAGCTGAGATCCGGCCACGGCACTCCAACCTGGGCGGCAGAGCGAGACTCCGCCTCAAAAGAAAAAAAAAAAAAAAAAAATGAAATGGAAACAGACTGCATTACCACACTGAATGACATCTGAAACACTTTTATAAATCATTGGCAATTATTGAACCACAGGTTCAGAAATGCACTTTTGTATTATTTCTAGTCAAAACTACAGATACTGTTTTCTACTTATAACAAATAACTCGACAATATACAAAAATGAATTAATTTTTGAAATACCATTTATATAAAATAAAATATGTGTAATAAGTCCACAAAAATATAATCAACACCCAAGTCAAGCACTTATAGTTCTTTTTTTTTTATCTTTTGCTGCTGGCATGCTGTGAAAACATGTAGTTCTCATACTTTATAAATTAAAACGATTCGAAGATATGATCTCTAAAACACTGATTAAGGTATATGCTTATTTCAGCGGCAGCTCATGTGTCAATTCTCCATGAAGTGTCTCAGCCTTATCTTCCTCTAACCTATGACTCCTCTGAACATCTGTAGGACTTTTAAACTGCATTATGCATGAGAGGCCTTTTCTGGCAACAAGGACTAAAGACATGCTCAGGCTACAAGATGATAGATTTATTGTACAGATACGTGGCCAATAAGAAAACTGAGGATACTATCTCAACAGTCAAATAGGCTTAGCGTTCATATACTAGGCCCCATATTGGGCTGATGCCTACCTAGAGTAGTCAGCTTTTGATTAAGGAAATTATCCTTATTCCAATTAGTTGTGGCTAGGGTTTTGAAAATAATATGGCACAAATCATAAGAACTATGGGTAGTCATTCTTCTTTGGAAAAGGCAATGTGTTACCCTCTGACGGCCTATACACGTTTACATAGCACTCATTAGATCCTGTTTTATATAGCGGCTATCTGATATGCATCCTGCTTTCCCAAATGATTGTTAACTCCACGACAGCAAAGATCATGTCTGAGATCTAATTGTATTCTCAATAATAACTATCCTTCTGCCTTGAACATAACACTGGAAGGGATGCATAGAAGTGGGTCAATACAGGACTCTGGTTAAGCCCATTAGGTTGTAGAGAAAAGTCTGGCTCTGACTACACAATCTTGGACATGTTATTTAACCTTACTGTGTCCCGGTTTCCTTATCTGTATAATGGGAATAACAGTACCTATGTGAGGAGGTTGCTGTTAAAAAATTGTGCTAGGTGCTTGGGATTCCACAGTGAACAAAAAGGAAAAAAATTCCTATCCTCCTGGAAATTTATGTTCTAGTTGAGGCAGATATGCAAAAGGAAGACAAATATGTAAAATAATATGTTAGATGGTGTATTGTAGTCTATTTCTATGTAAAAAATGAGCAGCTTAAAACAAGAAACACTTATTATACACAGTTTCTCAGGGTCAGGAATTCAGAAGCAGTTGCTTGTCTGGGTGATTCTGGCTTGGGGTCTCTATGAAGTTACAGTGAAGATGCTGGCTAGGGCTGCAGCCATCTGAATACTGAACTGGAGCTAGTAGGTCAGCTTCAAGGAGGCTCACTCATATAGGTGGTGAGCTGGTACTGGCTGTGGGCAGGACACCACAGTTCCTCACCACGTGGACTTCTACACAGGGGTGCTTGAGGGTCCTTATGACATGGCAGGTAGCTTCTCCCAGAGTGAGTGATTCAAAGGAGGGCAAAGGTGGACATGCAGTGCTTCATATAATCCAGCCTTGATTGTCACACTGTATTATCCTACTGGTTATTGTGTTAGTCAGGGTTCTCCAGAGAAACAGAGAACCAACTCTGTGTGTGTGTGTGTGTGTGTGTGTGTGTGTGTGTGTGTGTGTGGTGTGTCCCCGAAAAGATAGGAGGGAAAAAGTCACATGGATATTTCAGGCAAACAGAGGGAGTAGCAAACACAAAGCTACTGTGTTTGCACAGTATGGGAATGAGTATGATGATGATAATGATAACCAGCTACTCAAAGACCATTGATGAATAACTAAGTAATACAGAAATGGTCCTGAACTTAATGATGGACGACTTATGATTTTTTGACTTCACAAGTTTATTGGGATATAGCCCCATTCTAAGTCGAGGAGCATCTGCATGTGACAAGACAAAAAAAACCTTTTTTAACAGGATGTGTATAGAAAAAGAGAAAACAGACTGTTGACTCACTTCCCCAAAACTTTCAACTGTCTTCTCCTTAGGCTGATTTCAGCATTAGCAGTTAACTCCAGTTAATTCAACATGGAACCCCTTTTCTCATGCTATAGATCAGACTGTGTGCCCCAGAAACAAATTTTAAGCACTACTCAAAAGGTATATTTGTACTTTGAGAAGAACAGGGTTCAAATAGAGGCTGGACAACTCCTGTGAGGAGAGTTGTTGACGTTCATGCACCTCATGAGCAAAAGGCTAAACGAAGTCGTCTTCAATGCTAAGTATGTTTGCTATAGTCCTAATATAATTAAAAACCTGCCCATTAAGCTCTCTGCAAAGGGCCTTTCTATGACTCTTATTTCTTCACAGCAGTCCTGAATGATAGGTTGTGATTAATAATGCACTTAAATGACTCTGAGGGATTTTATAATTTTATAATTCTTTAATATGTACAGAAATTTAGGAGCCTCATGAATATTTTAGAAGCTGTACTTAGCACAACTCCAAAAGTTTCTATATAGATCCTCTGCCTAAAACTGTCATATGCTAATAGAAGATAGTATCATATCCACAGGAATACTTTGCATTACCAGTCAAATCTAATAGAACTCTTGGTTCCTTTATAAGTTCTCTCTTTTTTAAAAACAAACAAACAAACAAACAAAACAGGCACAGCATGAGGAAGTGATTCTTGGGACATACTTGTTCTAAACGTTAATGAAGGAAAAGGCAAAGACTTCTTTTTTGTTTTCATTGTCAATAATAAGACCTTTGCTCCTCTCCCATTAAGATATGAGTTGTAGTCACATAACTTCTGCAAGGGCAACTGTGGCAGAGACAGATGAAGAAGAGGGGCTATTTATTACATTTATATGTACGGAGGAGGGAGTGGCTGTTCCAAGTCCCTGACTAATCCAGAGATTCTGTGGCTGTACTCTGAGCTGCAAGATCTCTCTGAATCCCAAAGAAACTGAGGCACTCTGACACCCCATCCGCTCTCCATATCACTCTTCCCAATCTAGCTTTCAAGACGTGCATCTCCATATTCTCCCATCACTTCCCTCTTCAGAAGGGCTATGAATAATATTTTTTCACAGAAGGGTGTGCCATTGTTAATCTGTACCTTTCTCTTTGGGCATCACTGGTCTATTTTTTTAAAGATTCGGTCTCAAGATTTGCCCTCAAAATCTAAAACAGGCCAGGCGTGGCAGTTCACACCTGTAATCCCAGAGCTTTGGAAGGCTGAGGTAGGAGGATCACTTGAGCTCAGGAGTTCAGGACTAGCCTGGGCAACAAAGTGAGACCCCACCTCTACAAAAAAAAAAAAAAAAAAAAAAGAGCAGGGCATGGTGGCATGCACCTGTAGTCCCAGCTACTTGGGGGGCTGAGGTAGGAGGATCACTTGAGCCCAGGAGGTCAAGGCTGTAGTGAGCCATGATTGCACTACTGCACTCTAGCCTGGGTGACAGAGTGAGACCCTGTCTCAAAAAAATAAAAACAAAAAAAACCAACAAAAGGAATGAAATACTTGATATGCACAATAAAAATTATGGAAAGTAATCTTGCTGCAAAACTAGTTTTCAACACATAAGTAAATTGTTAAAAGATTCTCAATAATAAAAGAAGTCCTGAAATAATACCTAATTGTAATTTCACTTTTTCATTGGAAGAAAAATAAACATTAATATTTCAAAATTTATTTTAAAATACTCTAATATTTAATCTGAGATAATTTCCCCTGAAACATAACTGTGCCATACACAAGAGTCAGAAAAGGTGGCATGAGGCCGGGCACGGTGGCTCACGCCTGTAATCCCAGTACTTTGGGAGGCTGAAGTGGGCAGATCACGAGGTCAGAAGTTTGAGACCAACCTGGCCAACATGGTGAAACTCCATCTCTACTAAAAATACAAAAATTAGCTAGACGTGGTGGCGCATGCCTGTAATCCCAGCTACTCGGGAGGCTGAGGCAGGAGAATTGCTTGAACCCAGGAGGTAGTGGTTGCAGTGAGCCGAGATTGCACCACCGCACTCCAGCCTGGGTGACAGAGTGAGACTCCATCTTGGAAAAAAAAAGAAAGAAAGAAAAGGTGGCATCAGTAGATTAAGATGATTTAAGGCTTTGAATTCAATCTATGAAATGAGTGCATAGCAGAGGTAATATAATTTGAAAAAAATTGCAATCCACTTATCCCACCTACTTTTTAAATAACTCACCTAAATTTTTCATCCTTTTATTATAACTTAGAATAAAGTGCAGGTACACAAATCAAACAAAACAAAAATTCACAAGATGGTAAAATCTCTGTTATTATGGAGCTTCCCTCTGGTAACAGAAGCAACAAGCAAGACAGATGAATAAACACGATGCATTCAGAAAGGCTTGGAAAAGATAAAACATGGAGATGTGATGGAGAATGTGGGTGTTCAGGGAGGCTTTGGAGAAGGTGACATATGAACAGAGATCTGAATGGTGGAGGTAGGGGCAGCCATGCCAAGGACTGCAGGGAGGTGGTGTGCACAGAAGGACCAGAGGTGTTGGAGTACCCAGATACTGTTTACTCCATGGATACACAGAGTGAATGACAGGAAGGGTGGTAAGAGATGACATCAGGGAAGAAGGCAGAGGCACCTGATCTAAGGCTTGTAGGACATGGCAATTCAAAATCCCTAGATTCTGATCCACATGATGATCATGGAATGAGGACTTACTCAGAACATGCTTGTTATCTCATGCCAGGCATAGGAAACCACTGACCAATAAACACATACTGATCATCTACTATGTGCTTAAGCACCCTTACAGAAAAACTTTTTAAAGAGATGCCATGGATTTTCACTCAGGAATTTAAAGAATGTTTTGTCCACTGTGATTTTCAAAATAATAGCAAAGAACAACATAAGATCACTTCACTAATAACCTCCAGAATGACAGAAAATAACAATGATTTCCATTTCAATATCACATTTATATGCAATACCCATATTTATTATGCAACATCATAAGAGCTTTTCTATTAAGATCTTGGTATTCAGCAACAAACTCTTTCTTGACTTAGTTCTAAGCCAAATATGACCCCTGATCTTGCTTGGATGGGAGATTTGTAAAGTATTATGAAAAACACACTTAGTTTTTCAGCCCTATAACATTAGCATGTATATGAATGTGCTCAGTAACCATAAACATCCAATACACATAAGATGGTATTCATATGTTTTCTGGTTGCAACAATTACCCTTCATTTTGTATGAAGAGAATAAAGGGAAGGAAATCAAGATGAACCACACCTGTAACAGGGACTAGACGTGGAGTTTCCACTTAATGCTCCCAATAGCCCCGTGAGGTAAGTATTATCTCTGTTTTACTGAAGTGCAGATAAGTTGGTTAACTAGCTAGGTCAAAGCTCACACTCATTTCTAAATTAATCCTTAAAGCTTCCTGACTGAGAGAAGCTGATTAATTAACAACATTAATTTATTCATCATGCACTTTTCTAAAGCTCTTGAAAAGCCTATTGATCCACACTGGACTTATCAAAGGAAATACACAAAAATTTCCAAAGGGAAATTTGCCCTCTATTGCTGGTCAAAACAGCTTCACTGAAGAAGAGACATACCAAAATCTAGAAACTGATTTTCTTTAAAAGTCTGACAAGAAAGAAAAATCTGACAAGAAAATTCGACTAGCCTAAAGTACAAATGCACAGCCTCGCAGAGGGTGGTTTACATGAGAGTTGAGATGTTACTGGCTTGCAAAATGAGGGTGTGCAGAAGAAGGGTTCAGAGACAGCCCAGCTTTGTCTTAGACAAAATTAATGTTCCCAGTCTGAACAGTGTGAACATGGGCACATCTTGTTTCTGCCCCTTTGATAGGCAGCAAGTGGCATAACCAGTCATAAATGCTGGTCCACAAAAGCTTTCAAGAAAGGAATTGGCCGGGCGCGGTGGCTCAAGCCTATAATCCCAGCACTTTGGGAGGCTGAGACGGGCGGATCACGAGGTCAGGAGATCGAGACCATCCTGGCTAACACAATGAAACCCCGTCTCTACTAAAAATACAAAAAAAATTAGCCGGGCGTGGTGGCGGCGCCTGTATTCCCAGCTACTCGGGAGGCTGAGGCAGGAGAATGGCGGGAACCCGGGAGGCGGAGCTTGCAGTGAGCCGAGATCGAGCCACTGCACTCCAGCCTGGGCGACAGAGCGAGACTCGGCCTCAAAAAAAAAAAAAAAAAGAAAGGAACCTTGGGTTTGTATGCAAGTTCTGAGCTGCTGCTGCCTCCAGCACTGAGGTCCACTGAAATATTCCTGTCAGCAGACTTTGAACAGGCACTTATTATAAAAAGGCAGTGAAATTCGGGGCCAGGGTTGGGGGGGAATCTCTTGCATTTTATTTAAATCTCTTGCACTTTATTTAAGCCCACACAAGTACTAATTTAGTTCTTGTTTATTTTGCTCTTTAATTCCCGGAATTGTTCAGTCAGTGGTGTTTTTGGAAGTCTCCCTTCTCCAGTCTCCCCATCCACATATTTTTGACATGCTTGTATGGAAATTTTTTTTAAAAAAAAAAACCAGTCAATAGAATTGTGCATTTTCCTCACAAGTCATTTTGTGAGTGAGTGGTCACGTGTGTGATTTTTCAGATGTCACTTGCACAACAGCAGACTAGAACTTTAAAACCCCTTGATTTCAGTGAAATCCAAGCTTGGCCTGTTCCCGTTCCTCTTCCATCCAGGGGTTATTTGGCTGAACTGTTTTCCTGTTTCAACAACTTGAACACCAACCAACTAGACAAACAGCGCTGCTTGCAAAAGAGGGCCTGCTTCCTCCAGCCCCCACCCCCATCCCAGCAACCCCACCCCGGCCGCGCACCAGCTGGGGAAATCGCCGCCAATGTCCCCGCTTCTCATTTCAGCCTGAAATGGCCCTGAAACGGCGCCCGTCGTGCAACTCCAAGTCCCTCAGTTCTCCGGCCAATCGGCCTAATTTGGGGGTTCCCTCCCCGCGGAGTGGGGTCTGCGCTGAGGATGTGGACTCCAAGGAAGACAGGGCCCTCCCGTATTCTCGGCCACCTCCCCTCCCCGAGGGCAGGCGGGTGAGAGGTGACCCGGAGCCAGGGCCCACGGGGGACGGTCGTGCAGGGAAGGGCGGGATGCCCTCGGGTGCGCGAGGACGAAGAGTGTGCGTTGGGAAGGGGGCGAAGGCGGTCGCGCGCAGTCCCGGCGAGGGACGGCTTAGGGGCTTACCCGCGACGGCAGCAGCGGCGAGCCCCAGCAGCGGCAGCAGGAGCGCGGGCGGCGCGGCCAGGGGCATGACGGCGGGTGCCGGGGGGCGTCAGCGTTGGCGCGGCCTGAGCGGAGCGGAGCGGGCGGGGCGGGGCGAGGCGGGAGCGGGGGCGGCGCTTCTCGGGTGCGGGTTCAATGCCCGCCGGGCGGAGCGTGAACGGCACGGGGGGCTCCCACCAGGAGGACCTGTGTGCTCCGTCCCACAGGAGCAGCTGGCGCGCGGCCTTCTGGAGCTTCTAATTTTTGTTTTTTAAACTTTTAATTTGAACTGAAATAACTTAGGACTTTCGAAAATATTGCAAAAACAGCACAAGAGATTTCCGTAATCCTTCAGCCAGCTTCTCTAAATATTAACATCTTATATAACGCCAGTGCAGTGATCAAACACAGGACACTCGCACTGGTATAATGCGATTAGCTAATCTACAGCACTTACCGCATCTCATTAATTGCCCCTCTAAGGGTCCTTTTCTGTTCTGGGATTCAATCCAGGATCATACATTGCATTGAGATGTCGTGTCTCCTTAGTCTCCCTTTAATCTAGGACAGTTCTCTGTCATTCTTTTTCTTTCACTATCAAACCACATTTAAAAAGTACTGGCCAGTCGTTTTGTAGAATGTCCCTCAGTTTCATTTTGTCTGACGTTGCCTCCTGATTGGATTCAGGTTGCGCTTTTTTGGCAAGAGTACCCCAGAAGTGATGCACCTGCTCGAGAAGGACAAGATGTCGATGTCTCATCACTGATGTTAACTTGGATCACTTGGTTAAGGTGGCGTTTGCCAGCCTTCTCCTTTGGATCTACTGGCCAGAATCCTCCTTTTCAAAGACTCTTTTCAGTGAACTATGTCTCTTCGACAGCTTTTCTCTGTTACCAGCTCCTGGATGAAGAGTCTTTAAGCTATGCTTGCTACAATGTATGCATAAACTGTGCAATTATACTTCACTCATGAGGGCCTCTGGACAACACCAGCCAGGGTCAAGCAAGGGTGCTTGTTTAAGCCTCATGTCATCGGCAAAAGAGTTCTAAAAAATCAAGTCTAAACTCAACAACATGAAAACAAATGACCCAGTTAAAAAAATGGGCAGATGATCTGAATACACACCTCATCAAAGAAGTTATATAATGGCAAATAGATGAAAAGATGCTCAACATCATATGTAGTCGCTGAATTGTATATTAAAATAAAAATGAAATACCACTACATACCTATTAGATACCAGAATCCAAAAACGCTAACAAGATCACATGTTGGTGAAGATGTGGAGCAAAAAGAACTCTCATTCAGTGCTGGTGCAAATGCAAAATGGGACAGCCACTTTGGAAGACAGTTTAGAAGCTTCTTCCAAAACTAAATGTACTCTTACCATACCATCTAGCAACCACAACTCCTTGGTATTTATCCAAATGAGTTAAAAACTTACATATACACAAAAACCTGCACATGAATGTTGATAGCAGCTTTATTCATAATTGCCAAAACCTAGAGGCAACCAAGATGTCCTTCAATAAGTGAATGGATAAAAGATGGCACATCCAAACAATGAAATATTATTCAGTACTAAAACCAAATAAGCTATCAAGCCACAAAAAGACATGGAAGAACTTTAAATGTGTTTTGCTAAGAGACAGAAGCCAATCTGAAAAGACTACATATTATATGATTCCAACTATATGACATTTTAGACAAGGCAAAACTATGGAGACAGTAAAAAGATAAATGGTTGCCAGGGGTAGGGGTGGGAAGAAAGAGGGAATGAATAGATGGAACACAGGATTTTTAGAGCCATGAAATTATTCTGTAGGATACTGTAATGGTAGATGTGTATCACTATATATGTGTTAAAACCCTTAGAATGCACAAAACAAAGATGAACCCTAGTGTGAACAATAGACTTTAGTTAATAATTTGTCAATATTGGCTCATCCACTGTAACAAATGTACCCGCTAATGCAAGATGTTAATAATTGGAGAAACTGGGGTATGTGTAAGGAGGTACATGGGAACTCTATACCTTCTGCTACATTTTTTGTATACATCTATAACTGCTCAAAAATTACTCTTTTTTAAAAAAATAAAATCTAACCCTTTCCACACTTCTGATAATCCAGAGTGGTTACACCAAGGAAATTTGACCCATGGGGTCTATAAGGAGAGTCATAGAGTGTTAGATGTGGTAGGGGTCATCTTCATTTACTAGTAAGGAAATTGAGTGACCCAAAGAAGGGATGTGATTCCCTGTGGGCTCACAGAGAATGCTAACAAATGAACCAGAGCCCAGGTCCTGTGCTGGACTCTCCCACCTATTCCAGGTTCTGCCCCTTTGCCAAAGTATTAAGGTCTTGCTTAACTTACTTACTTCCATTCTTCTTCTCAGGCTGCCAATAATGGGTTTATTATATACCAAACTCCAGACCAGAGCGAATCCTTCCAAAGGTACTCTACGTTGGAATATTGACACATCTTGATTCCGGACTCTTTTGCCTTCCTAATTACAGAAGTAAAAATGGATAGTTCTAAGCAATCATGTAATTGTGAAAGTTATCTCTTCCAACCCACCTCAGGCACCAAAGTATATTTTATCAATGTGGTTTTCTTTGTGTTAAGCTACTTTTCAAATATTGGTTACATTTACCAATAGAATTGACATCCTAATGAATCAATCTATTTAAGGCAAAACCTATTTTAACGCTGTTATTTTAAGTCATTTGGACTAAAGAAAATTATATTATTTTATTGTTAACTCTGGTGCACACTGCCTCATTTTTGATGCTAATCTGATGAAATAGACTACTTATTGCCTGTATGTGGGTACTGTTATATTTCACTCTCCAATTTACTCTCCAGTTACACCTCATACCCTTAATTTTTCCTTCACTCTCACTCCAACTTACGTCCTCTTTTGACTCATGCCAGACTTCAGGCCCTTGCCTGCATTTTTCTCAGCCTTTTCTTTCTCCCTTCTCCACCCAGCTGGGATACCACATCCTCTGTCCCCTTGTTCCTCTGGTGTGCTCACCTGGCCAACTCAGAACCTGCGGTCTCCGCTTTCTTCTTCATGCTTTTTTTTTTTTTTGGAGACAGAGTCTCACTCTGTTGCCCAGGCTGGAGTGCAGTGGCACTACCTCAGCTCACCTCAACCTCCACTTCCTGGGTTCAAGCAATTCTCCTGCCTCAGCCTCCCGACTAGCTAGGATTACAGGCATACGTCACCACACCTGGCTAAGTTTTTTGTATTTTTAGTAGAGATGGGGCTTCACCATGTTGGCCAGGCTAGTCTTGAACTCCTGACCTCAAGTGATCTGCCCGCCTTGGTCTCCCAAAGTGCTGGGATTGCAGGCATGAGCCACCTCGCCCGGCCCATGCTCTCTTTTTCCTCAACTTTACTGAAGTCAACTGAGGATAGGTGGAGGAAATCAGTCAGTTCTCCCGATGGCTGTCACTATAAACAATATGGCTTTTAATTTCATCTGGTCCCTCTATTGCTCTTCTACAATCCTTGTATTTGATTTTACCTTAGTCAGTGTCCTCTCCTATTTTTCTCATTGAGTATTTCAAATTTATTACTCTTTTCAAGCTAAGATCCCAGGCTAGGTGTGGTGCCTTATGCCTGTAATCCCAACACTTTGGGAGGCTGAAGTGGGAGGATGACTTGAGCCCAGGAGTTTGAGAGCAGCCTAGGTAACATTGAAATCACCTATCTCTAGGAAAAAAAAAAAAAAATTAATGTTGGAGGTCGAGACTGCAGTGAGCTAGAGTTGCACCACTGCACTCCAGCCTGGGCAACTGAGCCAGACCCTGTCTCTAAAAAATTTTTAAACTTTTTAAAAGACCCCATCTGCTACCAATCTTTCTCAGCAGACCTTGCCTTCTAGTACACAAGAAAATGGGAGACCATTACATACAGACAAACACCTTCAAATGCTTATCTGCAGTTCTTCTCTTGTGGCCTCAGAGAAGAAGGCATGCTTCCCCAACCCACCCAAACCAGTTCCTCTTTCTGCTTAGGACTGCCCCTCTCATTTTATCTTCTCCAAGATCTTCCATTAATGATTCCTTCTCCCCACTGCATCATCAGCTGCTCTCTGTCCATTAGTTTTGTTTTTGTTTTTCCTCTCAGCTTCTAAACTTGTGAACCTCTTTCTTTCCCCTTTAGAAAAAAACCCTTCTTCAACCCTTCTTTCCCCTCTGGCCCAGTCCCCTTCCTTTCTGTCTCTATCATACTTCTTGAAATCTCATGTTCCTCATCTCCTAATTTCCCTTTCAATTTTTTTTTTTTTTTTTTTGAGACAGAGCGTTGCTGTGTCACCCAGGCTGGAGTGCAATGGTACAATCTCAGCTCACTGCCTCTGCCTCCTGGGTTCAAGCGATTCTCCTGCCTCAGCTTCCCAAGCAGCTGGGATTACAAGCATGCACCACCACACCTGGCTAATTTTTTTTTTTTTATTTTTTTTTGTATTTTTAGCAGAGACGGGGTTTCACCATGTTGGTCAGGCTGGTCTCAAACTCCTGACCTCAAGCGATCCACCCACCTCGGCCTCCCAAAGTGCTGGGATTATAGGCGTGAGGTGCCACACCTGGCCTTCCCTTTCACTTTTAAACTCACTTCCATCTGGATTCTGGCTTCACCACTCTGCTACATTTCCATTGGCTAAGATGGTCATTGGTTTCCTAATTCCTAGAATCCAATTTTATCTGACTTTGCCTCTCCAGTATTCAGCAATTGGATCAATATCGACTTGTTTTTCAAAACAGGGTCTTGCTCTGTCACCCAGACTGGAGTTCAGTGGCACGTTCATAGCTCACTGTGGTCTCAAACTCCTGGGCTTACGGGATCCTCCTGCCTTGGCTTCTTGAGTAGGTGGCAGTACACATGGGTGCCACCACAGCTGGCTAATTATTTTATTTTTTGTAGAAATGGGGTCTTGCTTTGTTGCCCATGCTGAACTTGAATTCCTGGGCTCAAATGATCCCCCTGCCTTGGCCTCCCAAAGTGTGAAGAGGGATTACAGGTGTGAGCCACTACCCCCAGCCTATTTATTCTCTAAAAAATGCACACAAAATCTCTTAGCAAATGCCTCGCTTCACAATTGGTGGTCAATTTATTTCTTGTACTGTATGCCTAACATAAAAAACCCAATCTAGAGATTTTTT